TAGTGAGTTCCAGGCCAGATGGGGCTACAGGGAGACCCTGTCTCAAAAAGACCATAAATAAATAAATAAATAAATAAAAATAAATAAAATAAAATATAAAATATATTGTATTTTGAACCTTACCTTCAAGTTAATACACATTTCATTTTTCTATGCCAACATGTTTGAAATTAATTTTTTAGTTTCCTTAAATTTTTATTGGAAAAACTTGAAAAAAAGAGGAAAGAAAAGAGAAAGGAAAACAGCACTTTGATGCTACACTAGAATTATTAGAATTTTTATTCTAGATCAAAACCTAAATTCTCCCTTGAAAACAATGTCTGTTTCTAGTGTCTATAGTAATGTGAATGACACTAGTATACCTTGATTGTGGATCTGAAACCTTGGTGTCTCATTCTCTCTCTAATGTTTGTATCAGTTAGGGATTGGGTTCTAATCACTTTTGAATCTCTTTTGCATTTATCCTTCCTTTCCCAATACTACTTGTCACCCTGTTTTATGTCTTTATCACATCATATATATGGATCATTACTTTTAGTTCCCAAATGTATTAGACTGTGTCACACAGAACCATTTCTGTAAAGGAAGTTGTAAAGGAAGGCGTATACTCTGGTGAGTGCTTGGGAAAAGCCTTCTCAGAGGAAGTATCCAGACGTGTGCATGAGCCAAAGAGGGAAAAGAAGCCTGGGAGTTTAGGGAGTGTGATATATGGCAGGAAAGCTGTGCCAATGTCCCAGGAGCAGTAGTTAAATATGGCAGTAGGCTCAGGTGCGTGGACTGTGGAGGGCAGTGACGCTAAGTTCCAGGGTAAGCACTTAGGACTTCATTTACAAGGAGGAAGTTTTTGATTGAGATGGGATTTACATACCCATAAGATTAATCTAGCAACACATAAATACAATTAAGTAAGCAATTCTTTTTAAAAGAACACTTTCACCTTGGCCCTGGTCCTAGCATAGCAAGGGAGGAAATGAGGAAGACCTTCAGGATTTAGGTTTGGAGAAAATGCCTTGGGAAGTATGGTGGAGACATGGCAGTGAAACCCTAGATTGCCCAGTCGTTGAAGGCCCTTGAAAGTATGTGTGATGTATTGCAGCAGACCCTGCTCTGATTTTGTATTAGCAAAGAGCATTGTTGAAGTGATAGGTCAGGCATGGGGGGACAAGAAACAAGGCTGCATGAGGACTGATTGGACACAGAGGTGTTGAGGGACACAGAGCAGACTGGGAACACGTTGCTGCGAGAGTTTTTGTTTTGTTTTGTTTTGTTTTAATCTTGAAGTTAAAAAAAGCAGAAATATTACATATCTGAGAAACCGCTTATTCCATATGAATTCTGTTGTCCTGTGCTGTGATGGTAGCATCGAGCATTTCTCCTCAGAAGCTGATTTGACAATTGCATCTTTTCTATAAATGTAAAATGAGACCTAATACACATCATCTTTGTTTTGTAGAGTATACCCAATACAATGCTCTCAACGTCCCAGTGCACGATAGGCGGCATCAGGTAAAAGATGAAGTGTGTGTTGAAATGTGCCGTACTGCTAAAAAGGAGGTCATTGAGGGTCTCTGCTTAATGTGTTAAGTCACTGCTTTACTTTCTCACCCATGTTTTTAAGTTGTATGATTTGTTTTTATTGAATTCATAAATGCCACAGATTTTTATTTCTGTCATCTATCTATCATCTGTCTATCCATCTTTCTGTCTATCTGTTTATTGTGTGGGGGGTGGGGTGGGTACGCATGCCTTGGTGCATATGTGAAGGTTAGAGGACAACTCACAGAAGTCGGTTGTCCTTCCACCACGTGAGTGGTGAATTGAACTCAGATCATCGGGCTTGGGACAGGAGCCTTTGCCTGCTGAGTCATAATGCCTGTTCCGGTGCTACTGATTTTTGATGCTTCTCACATTTTTACCATTGGAATTGAATTATGGGATGGATGCCTTAATTTTTTGAAACACGCTTTCCTTTGAGGTTGGTGGACCTTGCACTTAAATAAACTTGAGTTAAGTGGAGGAGGGCTATTTGCCAAAACCTGTGTCTTTCTAATTTACTTAGATAGGAAAGTCAAAATTCAGGTGGGAGCAAATGAATTTAAGTTAAGGAACAATCTAACTAGAATTTAGTGCTTTCTCAAGAAGCAGACTTAATAAAGATGTTTAGAACGATAGCTTGATAGTTGACCACGTGTTCTTTTCTTTTTGAAGCTGAAGATGCGAGATATTGCTGGGCAGGCCCTGGCTTTTGTTCAGGATCTTGTGACAGCTCTTCTGAACTTTCACACCTATACAGAACAGAGGATTCAGATTTTTCCTGTTGATTCTGCCATAGACACTATATCGCCATTGAATCAGAAGGTAAATAACTCACAATACCTTTTGTTTCCCTGAACAAATAGGGAGAACAAATAGGGTATTCTAAAAAGACCACTTCTGTGCATTGGCCAAATACTGTGGAGGACTTGGAAGGAACCACAGTCCATGGTCTTGACCCTTAAGACACAATATAACAGAAACAGGGTTTTAAGAAGTTAAATGCTAGGGGAGTTGTCAGAAGACTGAGTGAGGGAGTGAGTGGTGTGGTGTGGTGTGGTGTGGTATAGTATAGTGTAATGTAGTGGCATGTGATCTTCTGGGAGGGAGATTGCCCTTACCAGTACCTGCTGAGAAAAACTCTTAAGATTTGAATGGGCCTTGAAGACTAAGCAAGATTGAAACAGGAGGAAAGAGGGATTTTTTTCTTCTACTCCCAGAAGAGGGAAAGATGAGCAGACTCATGAAACAAGAAAGCGTGTTGGGTGGGGCTGGGGGCAGAAAAGATGGAGGAATGAGATGAACAGTAAACTGAGAAAAAGTGGCTCCAGGGCAATGGGGAAGAGGGGCAGGCAAGTCCCTGAGGGCAGGCAAGGAGGAGAACATCACTTTTGTTACAGGATTGAGGTCTTTGCGGCTTTTGGATCGAGTTGGCATAATGGAAAAGTGCATGTTAGGGTTGGAAAAGTTAATTCGCTGGATGTTTCTATCTTCCTGTCTGTAGTCACTGTTAAACTTGTGTTGTTGGAATGTTTAAAGAGCAAAAATGCCTGGGCAGTCCAGCTGTGCTTTTCCCTTCCTGCTGTGGTGTGGGCGCTCATGCTATGGTACATGTGTGTAGCCAGTGCAGCGGGGAGGGCTCTTCAGGGTCTGTGAGTTTTATAGACGCGTGAGAAGAGGCTTGCGTGCTGCTTTCTTAAGCCCATGTGCTTTCTTTTGACCAACAGATTTTGCTTCTTTCTTTCCTTTTTCTACCCCCAGTAATTGTAAAAAGGATTTAGAGTAGCCTGCAAAGTGTATTTAATGGAAAAAGTAAAATGTTAATGAGTATATTGGTTTTGTATAACTGTGCAATAAGCTGCCCTGGGATTAGTAGTTTAAAACAACACACATTTACTCTCTCACATTCCTATGGTGAAGAATTCAGGGGCTATCAACCCTAGCCGAGGAACTGTTGGCAACTGATACCTGTTAGGAGAGGGAGAGTTGGTTTTTTGTTTTTTTTTTGAGATAGGGTCTCCCTGTAGCCCCAGCTGTCCTGGAACTCACTATGTAGACCAGGCTGGCTTGAACTCACAAAGATCCACCTGCCTCTGCCTCCCATGTGCTGGAATTAAAGGCGTGCACCACCACGCCCGGCATGAGAGTCGGGTTTTTAAAAAAATTTATTTTATGTGTATGAGTATATTGACTGCAATGTGTGTAAGTGTACCCATGTCATGCAGTGCCCACAGAGGTCAGAAGAGGACACTGGATCCCCTGCAACAGGAGTTATAGACAGTTATTAGCTGCCATGTAGGTGTTGAGAACTGAAGCTGGGTCCTCTGTAAGAGCAGTCAGTGCTTTTAACTGCTGAGCCAGCTCTCCAGCCCCAGAGTCAGTTTTCTTTAAGAGTGTGATGCTAAGTAGATTGACCATGATCCAGGATATAGGCCCATACCAAAGAACATTTGGGGGCACAAGTTTAACTCCAAAGGCCTCACAAAAATAATAGAGGACATGAAATCAGATGGGGGGATAGTAAGGTGTGGGGGTAAAGATAATGCAGGTAGTCTGAATATGATCAAAATACATTGTATGAAATTTTAAAAAATCAATAAAAATATTTTTTAAAGAGAACTTGGGAGATAGCTAGCTTGAGACTTTGTGACTCCTGGCTTCTGAGATCTTGCTCACGATGTCTCTGGGCTGCATTCATCAGGAGGCCTCACACTGGCTGGGGGATTTGCTTCTGAGGTAGCACACTCACCTCATGATAAGTTGATGCCGGCTGGTGGATGGAAGCCTGTTCCTCCTCGAGAGACCATCCCTCTAGGGTGTTTGATGTTCCCTTGACTTGGCAGCTAACTTCCCTCAGAGATACTGGTTCAAGAGGAGTGGAGGCCGCAGTAGTTTATGACGCTTGGCTAGTCACATTGGTCGCTTCTTTTGTATTACTGGTCACTCAGTCTAACCCTGAAACAGTGTGAGAGGGAGCATTTCAAGAGCACAGGAGTCACCTAGGCCATCTTGCAGGCCAGCTTCCATAGAGAGAAAGCAGAGGGGTTTAGCTACAGATGCATTCTCTTAGGGCCCAATAATGTGGTGATATGTGATAAAGCATGCCTTCCTACCTAAGCTAATTCTTCTTAGTTTTTCCCCCTTTTGGTGCATGGTGTAGAATTTCTTGGGGTTGGATAGTATTTGTGTCTACAGATATTCAACGTGCCTTAGGTAGCAAGGACTTGGATCTTCAAGTCAGACTTTTTGGTTCCCAGTCCAGTTCTGCCATGTTCTAGCTATGTTCCCTGGGGAAATTTATTTAATTCTCTGTGCTTTGATTTTTCTCATTTTTAAAACTGGAGAGGAAGCACCTACCTCACAGATACACATACTTGAAGATTAAATGAGATAATATATATAAAGCACTGTTCATTTGCTTTCCTATTGTGATAAAAATGCTGACCAACTTGAGGAGGAAAGGGTTTATTTGACTTAGACATACCTGGAGGCAGGAATTGAAACAGAGACCACAGAGGAATGCTGCTTACTGATTTGCTCCTCCTGTCTTATTCAGCTTGCTCTCTTATGAAGCCCAGGCCAACCTGCCTAGGGATGGCACCACCTACAGTGTGCTGGGCCCTCCTGTGTCAATTAGCAGTCAAGAAAATGCTCATAGACAATCTGATGGAGAAAATTCCTCAGTTGATGTCCCTTCTTCCTAAGTGACTTAGTTTGTGTAAAATTAACAAAAACTAACGAGCACAAGCACTAAGGCGAGAGTGTGGCGTGTATGAGCTCTCAGGCAAGCCTTCACCACCTTTGTGCCTTGCACAGAGGAAGCCAAGCAGGTGCTTGGTTTTCATCAGTTTTGATGACACCACAGATCTATTGAAGTTCATAAAAGTAAACTTTGTAGTATTCTAATAATGCTGATAGAAGCTTTTGAAAGACTCAGGAAAAATTTCACTGTCATATTTTAATGTTGTTTATATTTTCTTATACTCTTTATAATATTAAACATTGATTCTTTGCTTATTATTGGAATTTTGTTTTATCTATAGCCATAGGTGCTAATCTAAATTGCTGGTATTAATTTGTTTGGAACACCTCATTATTTTGAAGAGCTCGTGTATTCTCAGTATTTACCTTTGGTGCTTTGGCTAGGAAAGACCCTCTGTGATTTTTCTACCAAGTCTGTAGTATTGAAGATTTGAAAAGCTTGCATTAAAAGATGAACAAAATGTTTAAACTTGTTTCTAGACTCATAGAAGTAGCTTAGAGTTTATGTTTTGCTGTTGTAAGTATTAGAATCTAGAGTGCTTGAGCTGCTCACAGTATTACTATGTAGTTTCTGCTGGGGTCAACTGAACTTTCTAAAGATGAGATTATTTCTGTATTCAGAATTAAAACTTGAGCCATTATAAAATACCTAGATAACTGAGAAGTTTCATAACTGAAAACTACCCTTTTGCTTCTGAATTTTCTAAATTTTGTAGGATTTTTTTCCCTGAAACTTAAAAAAAAAATTTTTAATTTCTTTTTCATTTTAAGTATGGTTTTGCCTACATGTATATAAGTATCTGTGCGTACAATGCTTGCAGAGACCAGAAGAGAGCGTTGGATCCCCTAGAACTATAGTTACAGATGGTTGTTAGCTGCCGTGTGGATGATGGGAACTGAACCTGGATCTTCTGCAAGAACAGCCAGTGCTCTTAACTGCTAAGCCATCTCTCCACACCCTTCCTGAAACTTAATTTTTTTTCTGAAGCTGAGGATTTAACCCAGAGCCTCACACATGCTAAGAACACACTATACCATGAGCTATATTTATAGTCCTTGAATCTATTACTGAGCTCATCTGTTTACCAAGATAGCAGTGACAGTAGTAAAAATTTTGATGCATTTTGCTGATTACATTCCTGGCATTCGTTATATAGTAAAAATAAGAAACTGTCTCCAGTAGATTTGTTTTTTAAAACGTAGGTAACGACACAAAGGCCATGTCACTGGTCTTGATTTTCCATCCTGCTGTTTCTGACTGGATCCTGTGGAACAGCAGGTGCTCAGGGAAGCAGCCCGCATTGTTGCTGGGTGGTCTCTGTTTCATCAGGTGCCTGGTTGTTTCCTGTGTCACTCTTTCTACTTCCTTGATTTGCACTGGGATGGGAGTACTGGGGAGTATTATCCAGGAATATTAGAAGAGAGTATCTGGACAAGAGCAAGTTTTCCAGAAAAGTTTCCAAAAGAATTTGGGCTTACTCGTCAGTACGTCACCTGTAAAAGTATTTGTTTGTTTTCCAATGAATTAATTCACAATTCCTCTCCTGTTCAGTTCTCCCAACACCTTCATGAAAATGCATCCTATGTCCGCCCCCTGGAGGAAGGAATGCTTCATTTGTTTGAAAGTATTACTGAGGATACTGTGACTGTCCTGGTAATTTTCTTCCTTCCTTTCTTTCTGGAAGTGGGAACTCTATTTTTTCCAATAGCACTTCTAACTGTGAAATTACCTTTCTTATCCAGGAGACATCTGTGAAATTGAAAACATTTTCAGATCATCTAACTTCCTACATACGTTTCCTTAGGAAGATTCTTCCTTACCAGTTAAAAAGGTATTCCTTTCTTCCTCTGGAGGCCAGGGAGCTTGGGGAGTTGTGGGTGGGATCTGACTTTCTTTGGACTTAATAAAACAGTACCAGGGCCTCATGCAATCTGCCTGGACCTTCTGTACCACAGCTGATTTGGACTCTGGTTTAAAAAGCAAAGCATGGCTGAGTAGCTTCAACTTACATTTAAGGATGTCAAATAGTGTGGTTTTTCAGTAGCTCTGTAGTCTGTTTACCAGTGTAGCTGCATAACATTATGAATCAGCATTCAATAATTATGAGTGGCATATTTATTGGAAGAACTGTTTCAGCTTTGGGTTTTTGTTATTTCTTTGTTGTCAATATCTAGATGGAAGTTATAGTATTTCTATAGCTTCAACTTACATTTAAGGATGTCAAATAGTGTGGTTTTTCAGTAGCTCTGTAGTCTGTTTACCAGTGTAGCTGCATAACATTATGAATCAGCATTCAATAATTATGAGTGGCATATTTATTGGAAGAACTGTTTCAGCTTTGGGTTTTTGTTATTTCTTTGTTGTCAATATCTAGATGGAAGTTATAGTATTTCTACGTTTGAAGCTTTAATTATC